TTTGTGCGCGCTTATTGATTTCCGTATTTTTATTTTTGACGTTGAACAAGCGTTCTTCGACAAACAAATAAATAATCCATTTCCCAGCCGCGGCGACCCTTTCTTTGCACAGTCAACGGACGTCGAGGCGAAGGAAAAAAAGTTTTCTCCTCGGAGAGTGAATATCAATTCAACGCGTACAGTCCATCGCAGCGGTCGGAACCAACGTCGGAGAATGAAATCTCTCTTCGCTCTCTGGAAAAGCCTTTCGCCGCCTATCTCCGCGCATCGAAAATCCGAAAACGTGAGCGTTTATTCATGCGCCGCAATCAGTCGCCGCCGCGCGCCGCGCGCCGCTCGCCACTCTCCTCGGCGCGCTCAAGTCGTGTTTGCCGTTTGCATAACGGGGCACACAAAGAGCGCCCGTTGCGCTTCCGTGGCGTCGTCCGAGTCGCGAAATTATCGCCCTCGCGACAGGGTTCGCACTTCGAGCGAATCTCGCCTCGTCACGGATTCGCGCCCGACGACCGGCGAATCGAGCGCCAAAATTGCCGCGGCACGCGCACTGCGTCGGAAGGCCGAAAAAAAAAACAGAACTCCACCTCGCTCTTCGCGGCAGAAACGTGAGCGCGCGCGACGGTTTCGCTGGGAAATAACGCGCGTCACGGTTGATTCGCGCGATAAACACAATTACGTCGCCTTCGTATGCGAGGGCGAGTGGATAAGTGAGATGGGGCGATGGGCGCGGGAAGGGGGCTGTACGCCAAGTTTGCACGTTGGATTAATGAAGCCACCTCCCCTCCGGCGCGCGAGAGCCGAGCTTTGACGCGGAAACGCGATGTCGGCTAATATTTGCCGACTGGCAGGCCGCCGCGCCGCCTTCTTACCCTCCTTTTACCGATGCACTTTGACGTGCACGCGTCTCGAGCCGCTGCCCGCTCGTGACATCCTCTCCACTGGCCCAGTCGCCACGAGGGGGCAGCATTTTCTCGAGCGCTTCTCATTCGCGAGTTGGCCACAATTCGAATCGCGGTAATGTGCCATTATCCTATTCGGAGCGGCAATCTTCTTGCCGGTCCCAAGTTTCAGAATATCGAAACAGACGGAGGAGTCCTATTTTATCGGATAAATTAAAAAGTTAGCGAAGAGCAAGTATCGCTTTCCATTTTTTATTCGCCGCTCGATTGGCCAATTTTTCGCCGCCAATAAGCCGCCCGCGTGGCCGTCAAAGTGCACGCGGCCAGCGAAAGTTGAAAAGTTTGAAAAGCTGACTTCCCCGCTCGAGACCTGCACATTTGCCTCGCGCGATTCGAGCCTTATCGTCGCCGTCGAAACTTAGACTTCCCTCTTCTCGCTTGAGGACTTTCGAATGAAGCTTGATCACGATTTTTATCGGACGTCGATATTTTAGTGGAGAGACGGATTTCGATCTTTGTTTTCTGCAGACGCCATTATTGTCCTACTGCAAATTGATTTGCAGTACTTTTCAATTTCATCGCGATACTCGTGTTTTCGAAAGACGCGCAAGTCTGATGAGATCGCGCAACTGAATATGCAGATGTAATTATTACGTGATTTAATATCAAAATCCATTACGACCTGCGTGCCTCAAATGTTCTTCGGTTATTATTTGCACTCGATTCGCTTCAGTCAACTGATAAGTCTGTCCTTAGCATGGCGGAGACAATGAAAAGCTCAGAAGCTCGATAAAAGAAAACACTTTTTTCTTTATCATTATCAAGTCACATTTGCGAGCTTAATTCCATTAGCTGCGAGCGAAGAGCCGGTGAGCACAGCCTTAATCAGAGCCTTTATACACGGAACCTCGTTGGATGGAGCAGAGAGAAGAAAAAACGACGAGAGAGAAAAATGATTTCCAGCTTTTACTCGTCGCAACAGAACGCGCGCGCGCGCGCGAAAGAATCCTGAAGGAAGCGTAATGGAAGAAATCTCGTCTACGGGGCCGAGGAGTGGCGGTGGGATCGAAGTCGCCTCGTATCAGCGGGCACAAAGAGCATAAAAGAAATCCATCCGGAATCTCGTTACCCGTCCTTAAAAGCGATTGCGCTTTTTTTTTATCGCCCCCCCCCCCCCTCCTCCTCGACGTTCTACATATTTAACCGGAGGGATCGGGAATTTCTCACGGATGCAACCGACTTTTTATAAAGTTACCGGAAGTTTACGAGCCTTCCCACATTCCGTGCCGAACTTAATGCTTCTCTGACTGGGGTGGCTTTCAATTTTGTTTTTTTTTTTTACGAGCGTACTATCGTTTTGATTAAAAGATTTGTTTTACAACACGGAACTGATGCATCGCTCTCGTCCTATTTTTTTTCGTTTTTTTTTTGTTATTTATGATTACGGCGTGTAGTAGTCGATGTGAAATATTACGAGCGTGAGTGTCACGTTGTGTGTCGTAAATTGGACGGGAGTGAGAAATTTTTTTTTTTCGTTGCTCAGAGAAATTTTTATGCTCACATTTTAATTCTTGCGTCCGTGTGCGCGTCTACCTGTATGTTCTACATTTCTCATACTTTTGACAGGTGAATTGAGCTTATTGAATTTTACAAGACTATTGTTCATGTATCTGTTTTTTTCTTTTAAGGTAGTTTCGCGTATAAAAAAATGATGCCGCGCATTTGTCCAAGGCATACAACTAGGCTATAAAAGAAGGAAATGCAATAACAGTAGTCGCTACGCGGAAAAGGAAAAAGATGTAACTCTTTTTGGCAGCGTATATTTGAGACTTTAGTGTGGAAATGGGGAGGAGGAGCCGAATGAGCATATAAAAATTTTTAGGAAGCTGTAATTTTATTTTTAGTTTCTTGATCACTGCGCGCTCGAGGAAATTTTATCGAGGAGTTTCAATAAAATATTCACGTCTGATGGTAAGTTTTATACGATGAGTTTATATTCTGAGGGCATTACCAAATTTAGTGACATCAATCACAGAAAATACTTTTTCTGTACACTGAATCAAGTCATTTCGGGGTCATTTCAGGATTTTAAAAGTATCTTTTGTCGGTTGAATTGACCGCATGTTTTAGTCATCGTCACGGACCTACAAACCGTATTGAGAAATGAGATTCGAGGCTTTAAAACCGGCCGCGTTGTTTCATCAGATCAATGCAGAGTTATGGAAGCCATGGGAAATCAGGTATACAATTGTTAAAAAGCTTAAAATACGACCTACATAAAACTTAACGTCTGGTCGAAAGCTATGAAAAATACAAAAGCCCGCAACGCTTTCTCTTTTCTTTTTGCATTCATGTTTCATTAGCCCACCTGCTGGTTCATTGCTTTTCCGCAATCTATAAACATGAATGAAACAAGTATACTTACGCATAATCATCGCGCATTATGCTTTTATTATTTTATTATTTGTCAAACGCTTGAAAATTGCACTGTAATTTTCCGAAACTATTCAAGTTGGCTGTGAACCAATGAAAATAAATGTCGTGACTAACGAGATCAAAAAATGGCCTGTAAAATTTCAAAAATAAAAGAATTATTTACGTTATCGTGTGGCTTTTTCGCTTATAAATCGTCGGTTGGTGATGAGATGGGGAAAGGGTGGCATACACTGGCCACCCTCGCACGCTATTAAAGATAATTGGCCTGTAAATTTCAGCCGAATCAGATGCCACTCATTCAGCTCGGGCACTGTATGCCAATTCGTTCCATCCTCGATATCCCCGAAAATAACAGGTCCTGAAATTGGTCAAAAGTGTAGAATTCACGAGTAAAGTTATTGTTTCAGCCGAGTCTGCTTTGTTTATACGAGACGAGCTTGTCGCTTTGTTTCCTTTATGCTAATGTTTTGTCGAATTTCACGTATTTGCAACTAAATGCTACTTGTCGATAAGGTTTTTCTTTCCTAAACTAAAGTGTCAACACATTTTTTAGTTTACTGGAGGTAACTCTAGATAACCTAGTGCAGTGTTTCCAAAGCCTGCACGTGACATTGTCGAATGTCAGCTTTTCTCGCTGAAGCGTAATAGTCTATAATAGCCTCTTATCCTTACTCATAAAAAAACCTGACAAAGTGAAGCCAGTTTATTTGCCATTTATTTGACTGAAAGATAGTCACGTGATCAGCTATTATGCGATAGTATATATGTCTTGTATACGCTCATGAAAGATTAGTGCAGATTTTTGTAGACGATTAATTAATTAAAATATTAGAAATTTTTTTTAAAGAATGCACTGATTACAATCGTGAACATCTACCAAGTATGTTATTTACATCGTGAAGATACGATCAGCAAAAACTGTAATGTTCTTAGAGCTTTCCATCCATAATACATTTTTAATCATGTTTTTGAAACTTTTTTATGATTTTTCAACATAGAATTTCGGATGATAAAAATTCAAAACATCATTAATAACATAATTAAATCATGAATATCAACGTAACTGCATACTTATTTACCAACAAATAATATCTTTGACTATATTCCATATCAAATCATAGGAATATTTAATGAATATTGAATGTTCGAATTTTCAATTTTTCCATTAAAAATTTTCTATTAAATGTTTTGTTCTACATTTTTTTGCATTAAAAAGAGTACGAAAAAAATACGATAAAAATGTGCGCGCTAGACATCACTAGTATGGACATATTTAAGAACTTTTCAAAATATCATTTAAACAATCTTAATTAAAATGAGGCATCTATAACGGTATACTGCCATTGAGGTAGATGAACAATTATATTCAATCTTCTGACAAGATGACGAACCTTGTCATTTTACGTATCACTGAGTTAATTCGATGTCTGAGTAATTTACAGGTACTTTAGTCACCTAGATCAGTTATTAATTCCTATGAACACATTAACAAGTCTACAATAAAAAAAATGTTTATCTATTAGGAACGAGATAAGATATTTTCTCGTGATAAACGTGTCTCGTAATTTGAAACCCGATTAAAATTGACGACATAATACCAAGTGTGTATTTTATTCGTCTGTGACTGTTCGCCGCCAGTAACACATTAAATTTAGCACACTAGCCAGTTAGATCATTTCGCGCTTGCAGAATGTCTCAAATCTTGGCGTCGTCTACTAGTTACATAACCCGAGAAGAAGCTGCAGAGTTGGCCGGTAAGATTTTTAGCGTAAAAAAGTTGAAAACCATCAGTTTAAAAACAGAACCCTTCTCTATTGAAAAACTTGGATATCTGAGCGAACAATCGCTTCTGACCATACACGCGCAGGAGGATATTGATGACCGTGAGTCAACACATGATTGCACTTTTTTTGCAAAGACGCTTGCACCAGAGAGCAACGCTTTTGTTAAACGTGTTTTTCGGGAAGAAAGTCACTTTTATGGTAACTTTATACCACTGCTTCGGAATTTTCACGTCGAGTCTTGGGCACCGCAATGTCACCTCGTCAAAGAAAATGTACTGGTTCTGGATGATCTAAAGTCACAAGGATTCCACTTGGCTGCTGGAAAATTAACCACGAAACAATTAAGAGCCGCAATTGCGGCGTTGGCGCGGTTCCATGCTTCCTCAATATTACTAGAGAAGCAGCTGAAAGTGCCTTTGACAGCTGCATTTCCAGGCTTTTTCGGAGCGCGAAAATTCAAGAATGATGACGGGCCGAATTCACGGTTTCTCGCAACTGGCATGGAAGTGGGCGAAAGTATAGCTTGCGATTTGGGTCTTGACTCGAAGTACGTTACGATGGCTTACCATATTGTAACTCAGGGAAATCATCTGACAGGCAGCAAGTGGAATGTTATTTGCCATCAAGATCTTTGGGTAAACAATATGATGTTCTCAGAAGATGACGAGTCTTGTCGACTTTTAGATTTTCAAACTGTTGCTTATGGCTCTTTTGCTACAGATGTCGTGCAAATACTTCATCTGAACTTGGATAGAGCCACGAGACTGGAACTTGAAAATTTTTCTTTAGAACTCTATCATTCAGTGCTGAAAGAAGTTCTTCTTCTCAATGGTATCGTAAATGACAAAATCATCTCCTTAGAAAAAGTGTTTGAAATTATTGAGAGGAAGCGAATTTACGGACTATTTTCAGTTGTACATCTCGGTCCTCTAGTGTATTTGAACAAACAGTTCACTGAAGAATACACGAGAAATCCTGTTCTTCAGCAATCATACGATCTCGTGAGCCGTAAAGATTTTGTTAAGAAGGTCATGCAATCAGACCAAGATTATCGCTGTAGATTGGAAGAAGCTGTAAAAGAACTTGTCAATTACGTAGACAAGAATAGATTTTTCCAATAATAAAACACATATTCAGTTTTATTTAATTGTTTGTAGTTACAACATGTAAATGCTTTTATGAATTGCGTTCGTAAGATCTGCTTGTAATATTTTTAGTTGTAACGTTGTGACATATTGCTTTCATATCTATAAGCCAAATCAATATATCATATCCTGGAAATAAATGTTTCGAACGATTGTTATTCTTTTGATTTTTTCTTCAATCTCCATCCAACACAACTTATTATCTATTCAACATAAACGACGACGTTCACCAAACAACAAAACTGCCGTCAGACACGTAAAAATTCAGCTAGTAGTTTTTTTTATTTGAGCGCTAAACGATAATTACATTCCAGCAGTTTCGTTAAATCATTTAAAAGATCCCTGCAATAAGCCTTTTGGCGAAAAAACACTTTTAAAACCAGCGGAAAAAACATCAAGACAAATCGCGCGTCCGGTCGTTCGTTGACCAAAACTACTCGCGACATTCTCTGCCCTCAGAATGGTAAAAAAAGAGATGGCTAAAGTCCGTGAACGTCGGGAAAAAAGTGGTCGTAGCGCGCGCACAAAGGAATTATTATAATAGCACGTGTGTGTAGCGGTGTGTGTATCGTTGGGCATTCAACGCGCGCCAAGCATATACGTAGCAAGGGGGAGGGGGAGGGGTTAAAACGCGACGCGGGTGGATAAATATTAAGCGGCGTCGCTCTCTGCACCGCTGCAGCTCGCCGATTGCCGCAGCAGCGGCCTCGTCGACTCACTGGCTCATGACTAATTCGAGGAGGATATCGAAGCGCAGCCGCTGCCATTATTTTTGCATTTGCGATTCACCGCCGAGAGAGAGAGAGAAAGAGAGAGAGAGAGAGAGCGAGAGAGAAGCGTCGAATACGCGTAGGTCGTTGCCGACGAATTAATTTTCGTTCGCGGTTGTGGCGGCGCCGCGGCAGAGAGAAACACAATATTAAAATACGGCGTGTGGCTTTGTTTGCGTGTATGTTTTTTTCGTTACTGCTACTGATGTTTCCAACTTTTTTTTGCTTTTTGCAGGCGGTTGATGCGTTGCGTTGCCAAATTCTGAGAATTGTCCACTGCGCCTGAATCAAAATGAGTAAGTATTTCATTAATAATTTATTAAAAAATGGACGTTGAAAAGATTTTCCACGAAAGCTTTTCCAATTATTACGGTACATTTTGTGGATAAGGATCATGGAGAAAAAAAAATTTCCCTCGCGCCGTTTCATCAGGCAAAGTGCAAGTTTACAAGTTTTTCACTCGTAAAATTACGTTTCACGGCGCCATTACTCAATACTTTTATCTCGTCATTAAACTGAAATACAAGGTTTGTTTTTGGAAACTCGAGGAACAATATTCTCCACTGCGAGTCCTCGAGTTAATCCAAAAGCCGAAAGGATCATTTAACCCTTGCACGTACTCACCCCTTCGTCGGCGTCTTCTTAACTCGACGTTGGCGGCGGCAACTTGACAAAACGATTTAATTTACTCGGCAAACGCAATAGGCACGCATAGACGTAGACTTCATCCCTATAGGCGGCATATATAATTAAAGCATTACGCATTCCCATAGTGGCGTGCGCGAAATCGACTCCCGTTTGTGCTCCCACAGGGACGCAAGTCGATCGTCGTACTCGTCGTCGTGGTTGTGCCTCGGGACAGTATGCAATTTTAATAGCAGTTGTTGCCACTTTCGCTATTGAATCTTGAATCTCACGGGCATCGCTTTATCTTTCATGTGCTCTCGGGTTTGCCAGTTTTTTTCGAGCTATCGCCGGTTTCATGGGGTCACTGAGAAAGTCGATGGCGATTAACGATTGATGTTGCCGGTTTTTCTATTTATTTCTGGTAGCTTGAAAATGCTCATTTCCTTGAATGAACAAAATATCCGGACACCGAATTGAACTTGAATTCATTACTCAGTCAATTAGAAGATGGAAGTTTTCTCTCGGAGAATTCTATTTCGATCGGTGGCAGAGATATATTTAAAAAAATCCGATTTTCTTTAATATCAGTTTATTCGATGCTAGAATCAACAGCTAATTTGATTCATTTCCAAAAATAATAAAATCGAAAATCTACTAAATTCAGCTCTCTGTGCCCGAGGGTATAAGATATTCTACAATTTTTTCAATAGTAGTTGATTGCGAACCCGGAAAGGAACGAAAAATATCTGTGATCACCACTACGAAAAGAAATCGGGGGAGGAGGGGAGGAACAACTGACGCACAATAAAGTCAAACGACCAAAGAGGGAGAGAACTGCGAAAAGAGCGAGCGAAAACAAATGTCAAAGCAGAACGAAAAATCACCCGACCGACCAAACGAGAGAGGGAAAGAGCGAGAAGTGTACACACACGCGTCAACGTGTAGCCCTACAAATCGCCTCATCAACGAAACCATTTCCGATCGCTCATTTTTCGTCGTGCCCTTCAACAAGAAGTGAGCGCGTACGCGTGCGTGAGCAATAACAAGGAGAGAGAAAGAGGCAAAGAGAGGGGAGAAATCGGGCGAGATTAATTCCACGATGGCGCGAAATCCCCGCGGTCTGCGCGGAAATGAAGGTGTCGATGTGTCTAGGCACACGCAGGCTCTGGAAAATATTGCGCGCCGCCGACGCGCGCGAGTCTGTTTTTGTTTGCTCGGCAAAGCGCACAAAGACCCTTGCGCTCGCTCTCTAATGTATGCCAAACAAAAACAAGAGCAGCGAGCTTTTGTGTTTACGTCATGAGCTTTGCCGAGCTGCGCGGCAGCCAGTCGCGATAGGAAGTTTAGGAAACGGCGGCGGTCGGAGAAAGGCGACCTCGCTCTTTTTCCCCGCGCGCGCCGATGCCTGTTTTCTCCTCAAACATCGCCAAAGTCCACGATCAAGCTGCGATAATATAGAGCTGGATAAATACATTTGGCCGTGCATTTCTGTATTTCCTACGCAGGAGCCCAAGTTTTACTTGGATGGAAATCGCTATTTTTTTGTTCCGCGTTGTTCAACGTTTGACTTGATCAACGCCTTTGGAAATGATTCATTGTTCAAGTTTACAAATGCAGAAAGATTTATTGATTCATTCGAAGCTTACAGAACTCGACTCTTCAAAAATAATTCATCTCAATATTTGGTGTAATTTCGTCAAAGTAGGACATTGACAGCATCCCTTAATTACGCGATCGATTTGAGATATTTTCTTATGTCACTAGTCGATGTGACAACAGTGAAACCTAACACAATGCGTATTATCCTACTATGTGGAAAATCATTTAAGAATTCGATGCAAATTGATTAACCCCGACGGTCTGTTCATTTAGAAAAATAAATGTAACGTGCAATCTGATTTTGGTTGAAAAATATCTTACGATTCCCGAAACTTTCTTTCATTGTATCCGGTAAAATGTAAAATTAAAGCGCTTCAAGCACACCTGCTGACAGTAGAGTAGAAAAAAATCTGTTCCATCGAGAAATGAGTGTTAAACGGATTTAATCCTGACCGCGTCCCTATGAGAGGAAGAGGGTGTCAATAAGAGAAAAAGGTCAGTTCATTGACTCGCTGCACGTAATTATGCCGAATAGCAGTCAGACCAAGCGAACGTCCATGCCGCTCTCTAAAACCAAAGTCCAATTTAGAAACTTGTTGATCGGGAATTACACGGAGACGCACGTTGAAAAAGTGTGCAGGTTAAAAGGAAATGAGCGTCTGCGCACAACGAAATAAAAAAGAAAGCGTTCGAGAGCGAATGCGCACGTAGACTTTGATTGCTAGAGATGAAGGATCGCGTAGGTCTTTATCGTTTTTCTTTTTAAGATCTGGCTATTGATCGTGGTTGAACAAGGCCAGTTATAAAAGTAGAAAACACAGACATTTAAAAATACGTCTTAGCCCCCTCGGTATTTCATTTTTCAATACTAGGGTAACTACAGTCGTTTTGAAAGCGCGATGGTAGGGCTGCCACCTTGTTCAAAAATAGAAGGGTGCCACGAACTATTTTAGCTCATCTAATTCTTAACTTTCAAAATAGTCTGTAGTTTATTGAATTCCATGAGTGAATAAGAAAGACCGTTTGATAAAATTTGCGATTTTCTCTAAATATATTTTCCAATTAATCGCGGCCATCGATGAGAAAAAAATGTAATTTTAGATGGTACGTCAAATAATACGACGCACAAAACAAGAGACCACAGCTAATAATAGCTAAATAAATTTCGCTTGCTACCGAGCGAGAAAAAGGGAAAAAGAAATAAATGGCGGAGAACCGAAACCAGAGTCAAACAACAAGCTAGAGAGAGAGAGAGAGAGAGAGAGAGAGAGAGAGAGAGAGAGAGAGGGAGAGCACAACGGTGACACGAGTCACGTCGCAAAGCGGCTGTAATTCGCCGCAAAGCGTCGTGGCGACCTGACGCTTGTCTCTTCCCCGCACAAACATCCCCACATGCTTACACACATACTGCTCCCCGTCGAATTTTTTATCCTTTGAAGAATACTCCCGTGGGCAAAAGAGAGAGAGAGAAAGTTCACGGTTTGACGACCTAAAACTTTATGCTCAATTAACCCCCTACCTATCTGTTCCTGTCTCTTTTTTACGACGTGACTATTAGCTCGCGGCGCAAGATTCTTCAACAGATTTAAAACTTGGTGCACGTGTGTCATAAGGAAGAGGGGAAGTGAGTTTGTTAGGTAGACGCGGTTACGACGCTCGGAGGCTTTTTAATTAATCGCGTAAACCGCGCGAGTCGCGTTGCCGCGCTGATGCGTTACTTGTACGCGTAGCTGGCACAGTAGGTTTTCGGGAGAGAGAGAGAGGGGGGGGGAGGATTTTCGCGCTTTATATGCAGATTAAACATAATGCCAGGACGGCGCGCGCGCAACAACAGCAGCTGCGCTGCGCCAGCGTGGCGGCAATATAATTTCCAGCAGGGTAAATAATGCGCTGATTAAAGCCAAACTCGGGCTGTATTTTCAGGAGCTAAGGGAAAAGTATATGGTCGATCAGCCGACGAACCGCGCGCGTAGAGCGTTGCAAGCCGCGAAAGCGATCGAGCGCCGCAACGCTCGGCAACGCCGGCGAAGAGTTAGTCGAATGCAGGTGTGCGGCAGATCGGCTGATACTGGAGAGCGGCGCGCTGCTCTGCGGCATTAGGGTCCCACTTCCTTCGTCGCGACTACTCGT